GGATCATCCTTTATAGATTTAGTGTTACTACAGGAGGAAACCATAGGAGGAAACCTAAACTGACTTTACATATACTGGATAGTTATATCAGTTCTAGACTGTTCTCTTTAGAGTTGCAGTAAGGATCATCCTTTATAGATTTAGTGTTACTACAGGAGGAAACCATAGGAGGAAACCTAAACTGACTTTACATATACTGGATAGTTATATCAGTTCTAGACTGTTCTCTTTAGAGTTGCAGTAAGGATCATCCTTTATAGATTTAGTGTTACTACAGGAGGAAACCATAGGAGGAAACCTAAACTGACTTTACATATACTGGATAGTTATATCAGTTCTAGACTGTTCTCTTTAGAGTTGCAGTAAGGATCATCCTTTATAGATTTAGTGTTACTACAGGAGGAAACCATAGGAGGAAACCTAAACTGACTTTACATATACTGGATAGTTATATCAGTTCTAGACTGTTCTCTTTAGAGTTGCAGTAAGGATCATCCTTTATAGATTTAGTGTTACTACAGGAGGAAACCATAGGAGGAAACCTAAACTGACTTTACATATACTGGATAGTTATATCAGTTCTAGACTGTTCTCTTTAGAGTTGCAGTAAGGATCATCCTTTATAGATTTAGTGTTACTACAGGAGGAAACCATAGGAGGAAACCTAAACTGACTTTACATATACTGGATAGTTATATCAGTTCTAGACTGTTCTCTTTAGAGTTGCAGTAAGGATCATCCTTTATTGATCCAGTCTCACTATGGGAGGAAACCTAAACTAAACTAAACTAAACTAAACTAAACGAACTGTTAAGGATCTAACGTTTCTGTATTACTGCAAGAGGAAACATGAGTATCCGAAGAACTGAACTAGCGGTGCCGTTTAGTTGAGTCAAACTTCATGGAAGCATCTTCAGCGAGAACAGTTTAGAACTGATAGAGCTATCCAGTGTAAATAAAGTTAGTTCACTAGTTTAGGTTTGATAGAGATATCAATTGTAAATAAAGTTAGACTAAGTTCAGTTTAGGTTTCTTTCTGTAGTAACACTGGTCGGATCAATAGTAATGGACGACCCATACTGGACCTCTATATAGGGAGAACAGTTTAGAACCGGTATAGAATTATGCCGTTTAATTTAAACCGCGAAGTTAGTTTAGTTAAGGTTTCGTCCGGTGGTAACATTGCAGACTGATAAAGTTTGGCTCTTACTCAGAATCTCTACGGAGAAATTTAGGACTAATAAAGCCATTCAGTATAAATAAAATTCTGTTGATACAGTACATCGAATCCAAAAAATTCTTAGCATGTGTATTTCCTCTCATGCCAAGGTATTGGACCTAGACGAGTTACCCCGGGAGTTTACGAACTACCAAAACTACTATGCCCTGGATGACACGATGACAAGGCATCTACTTGATTTCTGCAAGCTAATGTCCCCTGATATCTTGGAAGGGAAATGTATTTTCCAAGTTAACGATCTTGATGGGTCTTCGAATGAGTTTGTAGAGCTGTCTTCCGCCAAAACAACAATGGTGGCCACTTCCAGTATTATGATGGCAGGCAGGAATATTCAAGTCGCGAAAATCATGCTGTACAAGCCAATATGGCGACGAAATAATTATGATCAGCCAATGGCAGAGTTGGCTCTTAGCCTTGCTCCTCGACCAGCGCTCACCTCGGGTCGTAACACCAGAAGACGCAGCAGCAGTTGTGTTTTGCTGTAAACTCCAAACATTTCATGTGCTGGGAAATTGATGGGTGAATGGATGTGAACGTTTTGAACAGCAAGCCAGAACGTAGTTTATATACCGTTACATTTATAGATTTTTGACCAATTAATTTTATAAAATATGATTATAGTAAGTTTATACACCGTTTAGACTTTATATATACTCATATTTTGTATCGATCATTGATTTTTGATTAAGAAATTGTGTAAAACCGTATTAAATATATAGCTGCACGTCAGTTTAACTACGATTTAACGACCATTTGGCCAATGACATTTTTGGTGACTTTTATTTTATGTCAGACTGTTTATATAAGACTGCTAAAAACATACAGATCGTTCCGATATAGGGATGGGGAGAGAACTCAAGATATGACTTCCATTTTAATTAAGAGAGCCGGATTATAATTATCACTTCGCCTCGGGAAACATCGACGGTCTCGGGTCCACAAAACACACTGTTTCCCTCGGTCTCAGTAAATAAGTGATAATTATTATATATCAATAGTCAAAGAAACAACAAATTAAAGAACAAATGAACGTAAATACATGAACTATTTTATCGTTAAAACGTTAAATTAAACACTGGCTACACTGCAGTTACTTAAAGCGAAAGTTTTAATTACGTACTAGGCATGTCCAAGGCTATTAGTAAAACACGGAGCACGGAGCACGGAGCACACGGAGCACGGAGCACACGGAGTACGGAGCACACGGAGCACGGAGCACACGGAGCACGGAGCACACGAAGTACGGAGCAGTAGAAAAACGAAAATCCTTTATAATAAAATACACTGTTTACTATTACAATTTTTTGTTATTATTAACAAAGTTTTTTCGCGTATTACACGTTGGGGAAGTAGGAAAATGGGGCTTTTACTGAAAAACACATATGATGCAAAACCAGGCTGCCAAAAGCCATAGTATTTAAAATGGGCTTGTGAAACTCGTTATCTTACATCTATCAAGCTTATGTAGTTATATTATATTCCGATGGGCAACACATAAAGAAACACTTACTGTAGAGAACAGCCGATATATTTCGTTACCCCTGCCAAAAAATAGCCAAGTATACTCATCTTTCAATGTAGCGGATCGACTAAACATTAAATCTTGTGATGAGAAAAGTGAATTTTCGGTTTATCCTTCGGCTCAATGACCGGTGGCAGTGAGCTGTACGGCCGGCTAAGTTTAAACCGTTATAATATACAGTACATCATTACTGCTTTCATTCTTTCAATTCGTTTTGAATATTCGGAATCATTCACAATATTATAAAACTGTATAAGATGGCTGAACTATAAATGCTGTAGAATGAAATAAATAAAGAAAAGTAAGTTTTCAAATCGCGGTATTTGCCGATAAATCGGTAATCGCTACAGAAAAACAGAACAAATTACAGTATTAAAATCACAACAAACCGCGGAAGTGGGACAATTTTTGTATTTTTACTGTATTAAGACATGTAGAACATGTACGAAATCCATAAAGAAGTGTGTGTGTATTCTATACTTTTGAAACAACTAAATCAGACTTCGGAAAATTTGACCGTATTAAAGCTGCTTTCGGGAATTTAGATTTTAGGTCTTCGTTTTACATGTACCCAGACCAGTAAATATTTTTGAGTTTTGAATTTTGTGTATAAATCAACACCAACGCCTCAAAGGCGAAAAGGAGGGCAAGATTGTTAGAATTGCTATTGTAAACATGAGCAGTTTCGAGCATAAACATAAAATTGAAACGAGTAATTTTTACACATCTGATTGACTAAATTCAGGAAGCCATTTAAGTGTACGCGTATTTGTTACAATTCCGATCAACTCTGCCGTGCAGCACGGTCTGGCCACAGGCAGAGTAAATTGTAAACAAATTGCAAGCTTGTGAGAATCAGTAGAATCAAAGTTCAAAACTCAAAAATATTTACTGGGTACATGTAAAACAAAGACCTAAAATCTAAATTCTCAAAAGTAGCTTTAATACTGTCAAATTTTCCGAAGTCTGATTTAGTTGTTTCAAAAGTATAGAATACACACAAGTTCTGTATGGATTTCGTACATGTTCTGCATGTCTTACAGTAAAAATACAAAAATTGTCCCACTTCCGCGGTTTGTTGTGATTTACTGTAATTTGTTCTGTTTTTCTGTAGCGGTTACCGATTTATCGGCAAATACCGCGATAAAACGTAGTTTTCTTTATTTATTTTAATCTACAGCATTTATAGTTCTACAGCCATCTT